GGCAACGGTGTCTTTATCTAGCTAATGTTTTATCATTTTCCGCCCATTAACTTGTACTGATGCTCAACATGCGTTTGCTGTTGAAACGTTTCTTTTTAAGACTGTTAGATATGTAATTGCAACACTGAGATTTTCTTGCTCATTTCATATTATGTTGGTTTTTAAGGATGGAAAATCGATACTGTTTTAGGTTGAAAATATCACGGCTACAGGTACAGCGCTTAAAAAAGGGGAGACAATTGTAAGACATCGAAGCGCTCGAATTTCCGGGTGATTGAAAAACTTTACAGATCATCGACAACAGTGTATGGCGAAAAGCGGCCAACATTTAGAGCAGGTCATTTAAAAAAAAACGATGAATAAAACTGTAGCTCTTTGTTTAAACAATAGTGAAATCATTTTTTTAAATAGCAGTCAGTGTGGACTTTTTCTTCACCTTTAAAATGGAGGTGGTGTTTCTGTCGTACCCTGGATGAGACTGGATGCACAATATCCAGAATAGCGTTCCAATGCACGTCATTGTCGGTAAAATGTCATCTGCCATTCTAAACTTCCCATTTTAAAATACTCCACAAGGCTTTCGTTGTGTTAAATTAAGGTGAATAAATCAACCATTTTATGGAATAAATGGTATAAAAACGCATTTTATTCAGCTATTTCAGATTTCTTTATCGAATGTCATAGAGAAATTTCGTGTATAAAAAGTCTTCATGAGACATTTTGATTTCTTGAACAAAAATATCAAAATGTATAAGGATTCTGAGTAGTGACTCAAGCTGATAAATTTTCAGCACCTCCTCGTAAAACTCAGTATGTGTTGTGGTACGATCCACCTAATTTACATAGTGGAGTACCGACCATATAAATATGGTTGGTACCGGGAAGACGGGGGAAGTAAGAAGAGATCCAATCCAGAGACTCTGCCTGACTGCGACTAAGTTAACCCATTCTACAGGAACGGTCTTCCCAAGAATATACCAAACTATCTATAAATATTGTGTACACGTTCTTGTGTCAAGACATTTTGTTTAAGTACATTTTGTGTTGCATTATTATTATTCCATGCATTATTCAAGTTTCAACAGTATGATAATATATACAGGGTGAGGCAAAAGTCGCGAACCATAGGGTTTAATGGATACGTCAAAGAGGTCCTGTTGAATGGCTACCGTGATCACCAGACTTCTCAAGATGTTTTTTTTTGTGGCGCCATTTGAAATCAGTTGTCCAAGAAATATTGAGGGGCTTAAAGAAAAATTAACTTTGTATGCAGTATAATGAGAAAGGAAACACTCTGGCATGTTAAGGAATCATGCAGGCAGGGAATTGAAATGTCTTTTGAAAAAAGAACTGAGGTCATTATGAGCAGCATATACGTATTGCTCAAAAAACCCTACTTAAATAGCTAGTAAATACAATTGTCATATGTAATTATACTTTTAATAAATTATCCTTATGTTGCGCGAGTTTTATCTCATCCTATATATATATATATATATATATATATATAGAGAGAGAGAGAGAGAGTCAAGTAAAAATCGTGCACCATAGGGGTTAATGGATAGGGGACACAACTCCTTGTGTTTACAGCAAAGAGGTCCTGTTGAGTGGACACCGTGGTCACCAGACGTCAAATCTTTGGATTCTTTTCTGTGGGCCATTTGAATTCAGTTGTTCATCAGACACGCCCAAGAAATATTGAAGGAACTTAAAGAAATAATTAAATATGAAGGTAATAAAATGACAGACGAAACTCTCGGATGCGTTAATGAATCCTGTAGTCTCAGAATTGAAATGTATTTTGAAAAAGGAGGAGGACATTTTGAACAGCACATTTATATAAGTAGTAAATAAAATTGTCTTTTGTTGTCTTTCCGTTCTTCTCTGTGGTTTCTCTTCGTCCTTTCTTTCTCTACTTCTTCTCTTCTTCAATTCTTTGCTTATTTTCTCTTCGGTGTTTTCTCATTAAGTTTTCCTCTCCCTTGCCTATGCGTTATGCTTCTTACTCTCTCCCCCTCTCTCTATCACACACTCTCTTTTTATCTTCTCTATTCAATGAGATGTCGTTGGCTTTCTTTCTCTCTATTCTCTTACTGGTATTTTCTCTTTATCTTTTTGTTCTCTCAATTTTCTTTATATTCAAGTTCTTCTGTGCTTCTTTCACTCACGGTAATTTTTGTTGTCCTTTTCTTCTTTCCCTTATCGGCGAATTTCTCTTCGAATATACTTTATTCTCTCTCCTCTTATTTCAATTCATTTTTTCTTAATCTTTCTTCTCTTCTCCCTTTTTATATCTTTCTTTTCTTCTCGTTCAATTCTCATCGACATTTTTATCTGTTCTGTTTTCGCTGAGTTGTCGTCATCTTTTCTTTTCTTGTTATTCTTCTATTAGTGTTCTCTTGACCTTATCTTTCTCTCGCTTTGCTTTTCACATTATTCCAATCCTCCATTATTTCTCTGACTTCCTTTCCCGATGCCTTCCGCTGCTCTATACTATTTCTTCTCTTCACACTTTAATAAATTATCCCGATGGTGTGCGACTTTTACCCCGCCCCGCATATAAAGATATAGTCAAAATTATGTTAACATTTAAATGGTAGAAAACATTTATTCACAAAATTCTCAAAGGAATTCTACCTGTTTTGGGAAGTTCCGTATTTCCTTGGTAGTTGTCCGATACCAATCAAGTTTTCACAAACCGTGCGTAGATATCATAACTCCCTTGAACCTCGGAAAAATATCGATGATCTTCGTTTGGCGAAACGTGCACTCCCATCATGCTTTCCACCATTCTTCGTTGCTCCAGTGTTAATCGAGGTACCCCTATCGACAAAAGAAAATTAAATCATTAATATTAACATAAAAATAATAAAATATTAGTAATGTTAATATAATTTTGACTAACCCTGTATGTATCGGTTACACAACCTGATCTTCAATTGTTAGTAACGACATTTTACATTAGTAACACCAGTAAAATCTAGACGCGAATAAGAAAACACATATCGTGTTACCACAAAACAGAATATCTCACTAATAAGTAGGGAATTTCAGGCTTCTAATACTTTTAATGAATTAGATTTAATGATTTAAAAACAACATTCATTCTTCCATGATATTATAACATACCTATGGACGATAATGGGTATTACGGGTAATTTTTGGACAAGCCTACGGGCTCGGATACCCCACACTAAATTCGGCCGTGTACCAGATCCGACCGCGTGGGGCGGTTGGAAGATATCCTGTAGTTGGAGAATCGTCAAACTCTCTCCTTCTGGGCCCAGAGAATCCCATGTCGAAGTGCAGAGTCTCGTCTCGGGAAACAGGTATCCGAATCAATTTTACACGGGTGATTCGTCTCCAGCTCTGCTGGTCAAACTGTCTGCTTCCAGGCAGAGTGGATCCCCAGACGAGGCTATATCGAAGGGCAGATTCACGTCCTGGGAAAACAGTTACCCGACTTCGTTTTATACGGAGTGTGAGGGGAAGTTTTGATCGAGCCTACGTGTGCAGATTCCCCACATTAAATTCTGCCTTGTGCCACATCTGACTGTGTGTGGCAGTTGATAGATATCATGCAGTTGGAGATTCATTGTGGAATTCACTTCTCTAACTTCTAACAGTTGACTACATCTGTGCTGTTAATGAATCTTATATGTGTTGTTCTTGTCCTAAGTATTATCGTTCATTACTAACCTTCGTGTGATTATTCTTTTCAGTAAACTTCCCTAGGTTATAACATTTCGGCGACGATGATTAGCCAAAATTACAACACATGAGTTCATATAAGATTAATTATGCAGAACATTTAAACTATGAAATTATAAAATTATTTCGTTACGGCAGCTATTTTTGGAAGCACAGATAAACCTGTAATTTAATAATATCGAACTTGATTTCTGAATTAGTTTGCAATTACAATCGAATGAAATCAAAATATACCCTTCTATGGACCAATCGGCAAGCTGGGCAATATATATTTTGCCACTGGCGACAAAAGTCAAACATGAATTGCACCAAAACTGACTCCTTTCTTTAGTTTTCCTGGGCGTTTGGTCTTGATAGACTTTCATAAATGCCTCCGCAAGTGAGGCATGGTACTCTCCATTGATGGTCTGGCTCTTTTGAAATCAATAAACACAATGCTTTTTGCATCTTTCTAAACTAAGGCCATCCTCTTTCCTGCAGATGAAACAAACTTGGGCTTCTTTGGAGCAGCTGAGGAGGGGGTATTTCACTGCATCGATTGTCTCTTTGCCTCTGACGCAAAGTAATGAACTTCCTGGGTTAACGAAAACCAGCTGGATCTGCCTCAAACAATGTCACATTTACTCCTGATGTGTTCAAACTGGTCCACTTTTGTTCAAGTGTCAGAAAACGTGGCAACCACCACGTAGATATCTTCGCCAGAATATTCTCCACTCTCCCACAGGATATGGTTTGACAATTTGATTTATGGCCAATTGCCTTGTGGTGAGCATGGTCCGTCTTTCCCACGGTGGTGTTAGTTGCAGTACATCTAGATCTTGTGTCATATTCAAGGCTCTCACTCCGAAATTACTCTCCACTTTTGAACTGTTGATAAAATTGGAGCGTCATTCCCTAATGTAACAACCATATCAGCATCAATGTCCGTGGTGACTAAACCCTTTTTCTGCACCTATATGATAACACCACGATGCCAAATTCTCTACTTGGTACTTTTGAAGAATCTCTTGGTCAGCTCTCAGTATTTGGGAAGAAACAATGGCGTTATTAATAAGAAGTGTTGAAATTAATATATCCCCATTTCTAGTATCACTCCTTCATAGTCAGCCGCGTTCAGCCCACCCTTATATATTGGATCAAATTTATTACGGTTTTCATTCGTAACTGAAAATATTGGATATCATGCGTGACGAACTTAAAGAAAGAATAAAAAGTTCTTTCTTAAGAAAAGGCAGAATATGACAAAGAAAACATCAATAACAAGAAAAATAACGAAAGAAAACATTAAACTATGAGAACGAGAGAGCAAACTGAGGAAAGGAGAAAATAGAGAATGAATGGACGAAGAGAAATTCAATGAGAAGAGAAGAAATGGTATAGAGGAGCGGAAAGCATCTTGAAAGGAAGTTAGAGAAATAATGGAGGATGGGAATAACGTGAAAAACAAAGCGAGAGAGAGATAGGGTCAAGAGAACACTAATGGAAGAATAACAAGAAAAGAAAAGATGACGACAACTCAGCGAAAACAGAACGGAAAATGTCGATGAGAATTAAAGAGGAAGAAAAGAAAGGTAGAAAAAGAGAGAAGAGAAGAAAGATTAAGAAAAAATGAGTGGAAGTCACTGAGAAATACGCCGATAATGAAATGAAGAAAAGAAGAACAAACATTACCGAGAGTGAGAGAAAGGAAGAAGAGAAGAACTCAAATATAAAGAATATTGAGAGAACGAAAAAATAAAGAGTAAATACCAGTGAGAGAATAGAGAGAAAGATAGCCAACGACAACTCATTGAATACAGAAGATAAATAGAGAAGTTGTGTGTGTGTGTGTGTGTGTGTGTGAGAGAGAGAGAGAGAGAGACAGACAGAGAGAGAGACAGACAGACAGAGTAGGGGAGATAGTAAGAAAAGATGAAAAATCAAAGATAAGAAAGGGGAAGCATAACGCATAGGCAAGGGAGAGGAAAATAAACTTAATGAGAAAACACCGAAGAGAAAATAAGCAAAGAATTGAAGAAGAGAAGAAGTAGAGAAAGTAAGGACGAAGAGAAACCACAGAGAATAAAAGAAAGAGAACAAAAGAGAGAATTTACTGAGATTAAAAGAGAGGGAGAAAGGAGAAAAAGGACTATCTGATAAGAGAGAAGAAAGAACGAAGTGAATTCTTTGAGAAGAGAAAAAAAACAAAAGCAAAGGCGAGAAGGATTTACAAAGAAAAAGAAGAAAAAGGGAGAGGGAAAGAGAAAGGGAGAGTCAGATAAAGAAAGAAAGTGGGAGGAAAACTCATCGAGAAAAAAACTAAGAATGATACTGAGAATATATATATATATATATATATATCGTTTCATTTTTTATATATATATATATATATATATATATATATCTATATATATGATCCTTTATATATATATATATATATATATATATATATACCATCCTCTTGACTTTTGTAATCGTAGGGTGGATCAGAATGCAGAAGCTACACTCTTTTCCACAACGGTTTCTGGTACAGTCATACCTGTCCATTGTTTGACATTGTCCAACTAGTTTTTGCGTTGACGATATTCAGTCACCCCCCCCCACGAGGGTGTCATGTGGCACAAGGCCTTTTTAATGTGGGCATTAGGCTCGGCCAAAAAATAGCCCATTTGAACCCGTATAAACAGGTTCTGGGCCGGTTTTACCTCCCGCCCGTAGGAAGAGAGTTAAACCGAACAGTCGTTAGTTTTTGCGTTGACGCCCTCTCCTACGTCCACCTTCAAAGGTACCTTGCTTGATGGTTTTGCACATCCTGTCGTGCCTTGTAATGTGTCCAAACCAAGCCATTTTTTCTGTGGTCGGGTTCCTGGGTGTCCTACAAAACGTTCAATCCATTTCCGCACAAACTCATTGTTTTTTTTTGTTCCCAATAGAAGATGCCAAGAAGTTTTCTCATGCATTTGTTTTACAAACGCTTGGATCTTTCTCTCTGTATCTTCGAACAGTTTCCACGTTTCGCATCTATATAAGAGAATGGAGACTACCAGCGATTTGTGCAGTCTGTATTTTGTTTGAAAGCTGATTTTGATCATCTATATTCTTATCAATTTGGCCATCACTGCCATGGCTGCGGCAATCCGTGGTTCATTTCCGAGTGGCAGGTTTCTTCTTTAGACATTTAAAACTGGATACTTCCTTCATTGAATTCCCATTAATGGTAATGTTGTCACAGATGTTACTCTTTGTGCTATTCACCATCACTTTGGATTTCTCGGAGCTGACCTTCATTCCATACGCTCCTGCCCTTTCAAAAATTTTGTTTCCCAAATCCGGAAACGCACTGTTACTACCTTTTATGAAGTCAATGTCATCTGCAAAACGTAATTTACAAATGGGTTTTGCCCCAATAGAGATTGAAGAATCATGGTCGGCAAAGGTTTCTTGCACGATTCTCTCTAGAAATTGAACAATGTGGGTGAAAGTACTTATCCCTATCGTACACCGACTGTTGTTCAGAAGAACTGCGCTGGTGGCATCTTTATATAGGGGCTGGCTGACCAGGATAATTCTGTTATCAACACTGAATTCTCTGCGGATTTGACAAAAGCCGTCATGCCATACACGATGCTTTCTTGAAATCAACAAAGTTGTGGAATAAGTCTTCCTGATGTTGCAGTTTTTTTTTCTCTACGTGGATAGGACAACTGACGATCTGTTCCATTGTACTTCGTCCGGTTATAAAAATCTGATAGTTCCTCGGGTAGTAGTTCTTCAACCTTGGATTTCAAACGATTCAAAATGATACGGAGTAGAATTTTACTTGGATGACTGATCAGGCTTTTTGTCCTATAATTTCGACACTGCCTGAAGCATCCTTTCTTTGGCAGGGGATATTCAAAATGACTGAGTCCACTCGTCAGGCCACATTTTTGCTCCCAAATCTTCTGGCATAGTATTGTTATGAGTTCGATGGTTTCTTGACCTTCACATGTTTTATCAACTCAGAGGGGAATATTATCCACTCCAGGTGATTTGCCAGGTTTAAATCTCTTTACTGCCAATTCAACCTCTTCTTTCACTATTGATGGCTTGGTCTCGTCTTCTTCTACGGAGTGCTGGTCAGTTTGCAATATGGAGACATCTGGATGAAGCTGGTAATTGTATAAACCATCACGCTATTGCCTCCATCTATGGAGAACCTGGTCTTTGTAAGGGATTTTAAAGTATTGTTAACCTGTTTGGTATTGCCAGTAAGCATATCCTACTCAATGGTTTAGCACTTATTTTGTATCCACTGCATTTTTCTCCTCACCTCACTTCTTGATATTGGGCAATGACCTCGTCACTTGAGAGATTCTTCCTCTTATCACACTTATATATATATATATATATATATATATATATATATATATATATATATATATAAAGAAAGAAAGAAAGAAAGAAAGAAAGAAAGAAAGAACAGTAAGCTATATAATCCGGTGTTCTTATTGGTATTTTTTATTTTCATTTTTACAAAACAGCGCTCAATGTAAATTTACAGAGCATAAATATTATAAATTAACTGATGTTTTTTTCGCTACACAGGAATAACCATATTTCACAAATGGAAGCTAAAAACTTTAAATTTAATTATATAATTAAATTAAAAGCATTAGTACCGTTTCATCTTCAAGCGAATATTTTTAAATTTACTGAGTTTTAAACGCACATATAAATTAATAATTTCCTGTTTCCAAGGATACAGAGAAATCTAATCATTCAGACAGGGGCGGTAGGGTGTTTATTTTATTAACTATTGTTGTATCAATTATGAGTTACATTCGAAAAAGAGGTTAAGTTTAGGGGGTGTAGGGGTGTATTTTTAAACGAATTCTGACATCCGTTAAATGCATGTTGTCTGTTGTTTTTTTTTAAATTATTAACGGCAGAAAGTTTTTCGGCATTTTTTTCTTACTTGTATACTTGAAGATTCTTTTTAGGTTTGTTTGTGTTAGAATACGTTTTATTTAACTACAATTTTAAAATTTTTTACTCTTAATTACTAAATAGACTATATTTCTTTTTTAAAAACAAGTAAATGTAATAGAATTACTTACATTATTTAAAATTATAATTATGTGTATTACCAGCTCACATTTTTTTTTTTTATTTTTAAATATTATTTAAGAAAAATTTTTGACAATGACGGCAAAAAATAGCTATTTCATTTCTCTGATTAAGTAAATTTTTATTTTTTAAACTTAGTAATATATAGTTTCTCATGTATGCGCAAAGGACATGGGTCATTTAATGACCTATATATTCTAGCTTTTCTTATTGATTTCTATTTTACTGTAGGTATTTTATTTGATTCTTTTAAGTGCCAGAAATACTTTGAAAGCAATGTCTGATATTTCTTTTTCTTTTCCGTTGATAAATATTATAAAAACTGTCCGAATTTAACAGTTAAAATAATTAATCCTTGAAAATGGCCAAATGTATAGCCGAAAGCGCTCGGATAATAAGAACATACGGAGAGTTTTAATATAATTTATCATCCGTTAAGAAAAAAAAAATTAGATCGCATGAGAAATTGTATAAAAAACTTAAAGCTATTAAAAACTATTTTTTAGCCTTGTCTGTCGTATTCAATGAAATGTGCATATATATATATATATATATATATATATACTTTAAAATTGCTACATATAAATTGGTAATATATATATATATATATATATATATATATATAAATTGGTATATATATATATATATATATATATATATATATATATAAATTGGTAATATATATATATATAAATTGAAATATATATATATATATATATATATATATATATATATTACCAGCTTGTGACTGGTAGAGATAATTCCAAGGAGGATATATATATATATATATATATATATATATATATATATATACATGTGTGTGTGTGTGTCAAAAGTCTTATAAAAGTTATGAATCATACCGTTGAAATACGCAATCTCCTTGAGACCACACTAATATAAAGTATCTGATGTTCTTATAAAATTAATGGTTTCATAATAAAATAAAAAAGAAGTAATCGGTACATACGTGATATTTACCAGAGACAAATTAATGGACACCTAAAATGGCCAGAAGGTATTTGACAGAATCGATCTGTCTACAACAACGTTTATGACACAATTGAGAATAATCATTTGAATAAATCCCAGTATATTCACGACACATCTTCTTAAATAAACTTTTTTTTGAAGGGCTAAGATTTGTTTAATCATCTGTGAAAGATGCCAATGGATCTGTCTATATTTCTGAAATGCGGTATTGTAACTATTCACAATATTTACATTGTTCGGACTGTTGTCCTTATCTTTATTGTCATATTGACGACGTTTCAACACAGACAGGCTTGTCCGCAAACACACATGGCCCTGTGGATAAAAGTCAATTTCAAATATATAAAGATTGCCATGTTTTAAAAGTAAGTTATAGTCTAACCCCAGAAAAGAAAGAATAGGTAACATAATGTGAGACAGAAAAATGTTTTGAAAATGGCGATAAATTTAAGAAGGTCAATTGCAAGAAATGTGAAACAATGGTAAGATCCGAACGACAAAACGGCGTATAAACCTCAAGGCGTTATTAAATGTCGACCAGATTTTTAGGATAGGTTCTTATAAATAAAATATGTATTCTTTATAAGAAATCAGTTTGTTAACCCAGTTTTCATTGACGTATTTCTGTAAAGAGGGTTTGCAGAGAGTCTGGTTTGGTTTATATAGTTTTACGGTATATCAGCCTCAACGGGTTAGTTAATGCTGACACAATTTTTACGATAATTTCGTATGAATAGAATATGTATTCTTTGTAAGAATGTAGTTTGGTGATCAGGTTTCATTGGCGTATTTTTGTATCAAGGGTTTTTGTCGAGAATCAAATATATTTCTGGTAATAATTTCTTTTTTTTAAAAATGTGTTGCTAGTATTTAAAAAAATGTATTTTTATGCTATCATGGTGTTTTTACCCCAGTTTAAGGATTCACTAGTTGTTCATATCTGGGACCCTAACAGATTTTACCACCCAGGGTGAAGGTGGACCTGGTAACAACAATGCCCTTGAAAATCTGATAAGAGGCCTTGCTGCCGGATGTAGTTTATCGTCATGCCCAGGACGCAAGAAAATGATTTAGGAATGTCATAAAAAAGATAGATTCGAGAAAAAGTTTAAGGGTAATAAGTAAGAAAAGTGGCTTTAACAACAAGAAAATGGTGTAGCGAATCTAAGCAGAGGCAAAGAAGTATAGAATTGATAAAATTATGTAGTT